TATGTGGAGTTATGTATCTTCTCTGCAATGTTTATGTGATTATAATTAATTTTCTCAATGTAGTTAGTTATTAAAGAAAGTGAATATATTGCTCTTTGGTCTTGCTTCTGTTAGGAGCCTTCTTTGATGTGAATCCATTGGAGCATTGCATTACTTTCTTCCGTTGCTTTATACAGTAGAGTATCGTGCTATTTTTGATTAAATCTAACTTGTGATTACGACATATCAACTTAGGTTGTTGGTTAGTTTCTCCGTTTGTATTGATTAAATCGTGAAATAGCTTTGGTTTGAGTTCATTCACTAGTAACAAATAAAATAGTTTAAGCTTATGTGATTAGTATAGCTTACTCATTTTAGTTGGTCACATTTTAACTTGAAATATTTGCATAAATCTGGGTAATATTGTTATCTGTGTAAAAGCTCCTTAGTTGATTGGATTTGTTATTTTAAATTATAGCAATGAATAATTTTCAAATTTTATAGTTAAGTTGATATGAATTGTGAAGCCTTTGATTGATCCATTATTCTCTTCTTTGGCATGAACCCGTCTTTCCTCCCTTCGCATTTCGAGAGGGCCATAAAGGCCCAAAATCCTTTTATCGAGTCAGCCAACCTTGAGAATCAAAGAACAAGTCTTCGGAGTTGACATACAGGTCCCGGAAAGCAGAAAAATGAGCTGTATACATCTATATACACCAATATACAGCTGATGTATACAAAAACAGGAATTGGGTTAAACCCCAAAAGTGGCTACAAATTTGGCCCAAGAAAGACCCAAATTCAACTTCTCTCCCTTACTCTTAAATTATTTAATTGTGATTATTTTTTGTTCGTTGTTTATTAACTCTAACTTTAGAATTGTTAATTAACTTAATCGAATTCCCCAAAGATGAACTATTTCTTTGTGTTGTTTTGTTTTAACAAATTTCATTTATCAACTCTTGTATTTTTTACACACTTAAACATGTAGTCAAAACTTTCACTTGTCTTTATTTAATTTAAAAGATGCTCTCTTTAATTAATTCAATTGGTTTAAGTTATTATCTTTGATATAATACAAATAAATTCTAATAAATTTAATTTTGTTAAAACCTTAATCACTTGCATTTTAATTCAAATGTCTCATTTTATGTCCCTTTTTCTAAAAAATAAAATAAAACAAAATGTGTCATTTATTTAACTATTTTCTCAAAGTTAGTCAAATATTTTAAATTATTATTTTTTATGTTAAATTATTTTCCCAAAAAAATAGTCAACTATTTAATCTTAGTCGTAGGATAATCGCATGTTAGCCGGCGTTTCAAATACCTTAAAAACCTTCTTGAAGCGTAAATAAGAACCTTTTACCCATTTTTTCTAAATTTTTAAAGACTTAATCTGTTAGTCTTTTTAAATTATAAGTTTTCTTAATTTCTTTAAAAAATTAAGTGGCGACTCTTTTCTAAGTATTTTTCACAAATTGTTTTATACTTAGAACATTTCAAAAAGTGATTTTTCTAAAGATGGTAAAATTACGGCATAACAATGATGATATTAGGGTAAGATGGACATATGGAAGTTAATTGAGGGTAAAAGGTCAAGAATACCATTCTGGGAACGTAAGAAGACCATAAAATCAAAGAAAAAGCTTTAAATAATGCTTTCAAGCTAGGAATTTAAGCACGGATAGCTTTATTTGACAATTAGCAACGACCTTTTAATGAATCTCGTCAGCCAAATTGGTGATCTGGAGGTTCCCTAGCTGAAATATTTGGCAGTTCGCCAAATGGCGCTTTAGATCGCCAATATAGACAAAGACTTATGGTTTTCAGAACATTTCAGCGAGTTAATTTGGTGATTCGCCAACCCATTCGACAAGTCGCCAAATGACCAGGTGTCCTCGCCGAATTTTTCTATCCGCACATATTCCAGTAAAACAATCATAATTTTTTATACCGAACTCAAAATAAGGCAAACTTGGTGGAGTTGGAACGAAGACTCATAGAACTTTAATTTGATAGGTCATAGGCCATCTAATTCATTATATGCAGAGATATATGAGCATTTGAAGTTAACCTAAGTAGACTTTTATATCAAAACTCAATCGGTAAGAAAAGTTTCAACTCAACTTTGTACTAGGGAATTCTTTTGACCTTAATTCCTCTCCAATTCCATACCCACACTAAAGAATTGATCTTAAAACCTAAGCACAATTTAAGAATCACCCGATACGACCTTATACACAAATGAAGAATTGTTCAACATATGTATGTTGAAAATTCCTTCACACTTCTTAAGTTTAACTACTAAATGGACTAAATTGTGAAAAATAAAGTTGATTTTTTGGAGATACAAAATATATATTTAGTGGAACTTTTATAATTTTATAGAATAATACCTTTGTTTTTTGTACTTAGAAAAAGTCTAAAATTTTTAGAATCTTAGATACTTGAGGGAAATATTTGTAGAAGGGAATAAAATTTTCTAGACTTTTAGCATCTAAAATCATCTAGACTTTTAGCATCTAAAATCATCTCTACAAAAGCATAAATAGAAATAGCCTTAGTCATTTATAATTAACTCAATAAAATAAAAATTAATTCAATTCAAGAATTCTTCTTCCCTTTATATTTGAAATATGTTATTTTACTGAATTCAAGTAGCAACAGTATAAAGTTCACCCAAAAAACATAACTTAAGTGTTATATTTCACTTCATCAAAAATAAAAAAAGATAAAAATCAATTTTAAGTTGTTAGATATGACAGAAAATGACATCTAAAATTATATAAAAAACACCATAGGTAGAGAAATGACCAGAAAAGAACTTATGATTTACAATGTGATGAACCATATGCATTGTTTCTCCATCGCTTCATATTACAAAAACAAAGTAACAACTCCATTCTTTATAAAAAAAAAAACAATAGCTCAGCTTTTGAGATTTGTAGAAAAAACAAAAGTTTCATCAGATCTTTCAATTCGTTTTTTCTACCTTTTTGTTTCCTTTTGTCTTTCCCTTTTCTTGGACTATGAAAAATTACAACAACAGACACAAGTTTGAGAAATAAAGAGTAAAAAGAATATTGAGAACAATGAAATAAAAATACATAATTACACCATTTAAATTGGACCTTTTTTTGAAGTAGACACCTAAAGTTTGAGGGAGTCCTATTACCCACGAAACCATTTTCAACAACTCTAAATACACCATTTTAACCCATTTTCAGAGAAGGTGTAATCTCAAGTGTTGAAGGGCGCGTGAATGAATAAAAATTCACCCCTAAACCAATGTGAACGTGCCACATAGCAAAGATTGCAAGTCATCATTTCCCCTAAAAAGTTCAAGAACAAAGGATTTCTTGGCCAATGCTTTTCAGGGTGATTATTGACGAATATTGTGTATATGTTTTTTTGTATTCTAATTGTTGTTACATTCTCACATTTACTTTAGAATTGAAAAGAGTTTGTATGATTTCTGAGACGTAATTATCTCAATTTCATAAAGAATATCTGAATAATTCAATAAAGGGAGCTTGCAAACTGGAAGTAATAAAATTGCAGATTAAAAATTTACCATTTTTATTGTTATGGGAACAAAGGAGTCCACTATAAGCAGCAGCAAGTAGGAAATTTGAACCATTTTGTTGCTTTTCTTTAAGAAAATTAGATGTGTAACTAAGGAATTTTCAGAGTTTCACCTCTTTCAAATAGAGCTTAATATAAGAAATATAGAAGTTAATGGTCATGAAAAAACCCTCCCAAGAAGATCTTGATTAAGTTCATTCCAGTGAATATACAATACCTTCATCTTTCATATTCTTCTTTACATCCCACTAAATATCATGTAGAGAAAAGGAAAAGGCATCGGAAAAAATGAATACGAATTTTCTAGAAGGGTTTTTAAGGGTTAAAATGTGAGTGGGTCAGGGTTTTACCCGACCCACAATTAAACGGGTAAGAAAAATAAAAAAATATTGTTTTATTTGGGGGGTGGGACACACACATGTTATGAGATTGCAAATACTGTAAAAATAGTGTATTTGGAATTGTTGGAAATATTTGGATGGGGGTAATAGGACCCCCGCGAACTTTAGGTGTCTACTTCAAAAAAGGGTACAAGTTTGATGGGGTAATTATGTATTAAACTTTCTAACTTGAATGTTAAATTACTATAATATCATCACCTTAAAACACTCACTTTAGTATATTTTCTATATTTTTATATTATATCATATTATATTAAAAGCAAACTTCTTTTCACATGGAAGGGTTATGAATTTTTTAAGGGTTTGACTCTTTCAAAGAATTGTGGCTGAATCATTGTTGACCACATGGACATTAACTCTTATTTCAATTAAAAAATAAGGACATGAATAGGTACAAACTTTTAACGGAAATGCAATAGATGAGACAAACTTTAACGGACATCATAGATGAGTATTTTCTCAAAGTTCGATGGCATATTTGAGCGTTTTCCTTTAAAAAGTTATTTAGTTAATGGCGTTACTAAATAATAATTGTCCATATGTCAAAAATGGTTTTGCGAAATTGGATCTATTTTCAGTTAACAAATGATGGTATGGATGAGCCTTTTCTCAAACGAAAATGACATAGATGAAATAAACTTTTAACGGATAACATACATAAGCCATTTCTTTTCACCAAATTGTATGTGATCAAAAGTCTAAGAGCCCGTTTAGATTGGTTTTAAAAGTAGCTTTTATATCAGAAAATAAAAAGTCACATTTAAATTACTTTTAAGTCCTTAATTTTCCAACTCAATCCCATAACCTGCATATACTTTACTTCTGTCTTCAATGGAAATTCTTCAATTATTTGGCAAGTTATGGCTTTATTCCATAAATTTATGTGTCATGACCCTTTCAGAAACAGAAAGATTGCCTGGACATCATGTTTCTATCACGAAAGAGTCATATCTTACTACTGCAATACAATGTATTGCAACGTTCGTCTGGAAGTAACACTTGCATTGAGAAACAATCAGACTCGTAATAGAAAAACTAAGGAGAGGTTCATTCTGTATAAATCTGAAATAGTACGAGATATCAAGCTACTGTTTTATTCAGTGATACAAGTAGAGAGTACTAAAATTAGTATGGAAATCTGAACTAGTCACCTCAGTTTTTTGTAAAAAGAGAAGGCGGGAGAACTTTATATGGGTTCAGAATTCCATTAGGGTCCAGTAGCTTCTTAATGTTGGCCATCAGTTGCACCTGGGAAAAGAAATGCATCGGTTCAGCAATTTATGAAGGAGGATTTACCCACACATTGAGGGGAGGGGGGGAGGGGAAGGAAAATAATACATGTAGTATTTTCACCTTCTAGTTTTTCAATTTACAGTAAGCTATGCAGACTAAATCAGACAATTGACAACCGATACCAATATCCACATTCCGTTCTTTTATTGTATTATTTTGGCATGTATACTTGATAGCAGTATATTAAACATGCTGGCTAGATGGGTGTTTACAGAGATGTTTTAGAAAGCTCACGTTATCTTCACTACGTGATGCTTTTGAGGGAGACAAGGGCTCGATGTCAGTACACAATCATAGATGATCGTTTATCCACATTCAGTCTTAACCTATGATAAGAACTATTATTCATCACATCTCTTGAACTTAGTCACATTATTCCAGAATGTCTAGAAAGAAAATACCGAGGATTTACTGCATTTTGGGGTAAATTCTCTTGGGCATCATGCAAAGAATATATATCCACATGAAATTTCAGTATTTCCTAACTAGTGATACTACTTTTGGCGTTGAAAGAAATGAGAACTTTGTAAATTGAGATGTGTCGACAATTGGTGCTTCCAAACACTACATCCTGACAGAAGACTCAGTAGTACTGATGTCACTTTATTTAAATGATAACTAAAAGTACTGGTCTTACAGTTTCAGGTGACTTGGTGTAATGGATTTTATTGGCTTTCATCAGTCCAAGGCCATGTTCGGCACTAATACTCCCTTTGTGCTTAGAAGTCCATTCATAAACGAATGGCTCAATCTGTGATAAAATCTGGAACCAACATATCCAATTAATGGGATAATCAACTAATAAAATTTAGTGAGAAGCAAGAAGGCCAAGGCAGTACCTTATCATCATACTGAGGAGTTGAGATATTAAGATGTAAGTTTCCATCCCCAAGGTGACCATAAGCGACTACTTTTGCTGAAGCACCTGTAAAATTTCAATTAAAACAACATTAAATTCTGCGTTTGTTAGTTACTATTAACAGATGGCATGCCCCTAAAATTGTTGATTCAACAGAAAATGGAGAGATGGATAAAAATGAAAGCATCAAATATGATAAATGGCATCTCTGAATGAGACATTCAAATTTAACTGTGCATTTACTTTTTCTGCAGGTAACTGAGTCATGATTTTTGAAAAGGAATTTATTTTTATTTTTTGGAATTGAGTCTGTGGCGAAAGCGAAAAACTGAGTCCTAATTAAGGAAGCACTAAGAAGAATTGATCCCATAAATAATCCAGACACACTAATAAGAATGAAATGGAACATGCTTTCAGCGAAGCAAGAATTTTGACATTCTTACCAAGTCGGACTCCCATTTCCTCAACAAGATCATACATCTTTTCAACTGGTATTGACAAATCATATTTATATACACCTCCTGCCTTCATCAAAGCTTCAGGAATACCCTACAATATAAAGATTAACACCTTTATTTATCAAGACATGAACAGAATCGTACCACATGAAAATGTGCACTTTTTTAACATAAATTTACAACAACAACAAACCCAATGTAATCCAGGGGTCTGGGGAGGGTGGTGCGTACACAACCTTCAAATCCATGGTTCTAACACATAATAGTAAGTGATAGGGCAAAGTTTTCATCAGTTATTCATTACTGAAGGAGATGCAGATATCTTGGTTCTAATCAAGTAAAACTTTCAAGATGACATATAGGTCTCGAGTCTTGACAATTTTATAAAAATCAGGTGCAGCTACTATAAAATCTACAAATGGTAAGAGTTGAAAAAATGTGATCCAGACGAAAGTTAATAATAGTAATAGAGTTTCTAATAACAGAGATTTGTAAGGGACACAGAACTCCTTTACCCAAATTAAAGATGGAATTGTTTTTATTTATTGTGGAGATCACATAATATTCTCACTTGCATAGATGACTGGATGATATTTTTGGAAAACTATAATTTACTTTAGGGATCTTGAAGGTTCTATATGATATTCCATATCACCTCTTCTATATGGTGGTTACCACTTTTGAACAGCCCTACTTTAGTGACGACGGAATATTTACTTATCAAATTATGCATCCTTTCATTCTCCAAAAAAATATTTACTTATCAAAACTCTGAATAGTAGAATATCACAAGTTACAGATGCAAGCTTTTTTTTCTGAGAGAGAGATTACAAATGCAAGCTTATGTGTCAGATTACTTGTCAAGTATAGAGTGATAACCTCACGAATATGCCAGCAAGAAGATGCCTGAGTTATATCTTGTGCAACAACTCCATCACTTATCAAGTCATTTTCCATTGAGTGAAGCAAGAAGGCATCTAGTTTCTCTCTGCATAGTCACGTAGCAGAACCCAACACAGAATGAATTCAACTTATCAAATTGCATACTGAATAAGCAAGAAATTAGCCAAGTCCAGAGGAAACTGAGAGTGCTACTGTGATGAACTGAAATGCGAAAAAGTAATATATTCGAACAAATCGGGAATTTTATTGATATGGGGGAAAGTTTACAGCAACAATTTACTCTTCAAGCAAGATGTAACCCTAGCTATGGTGATTACAGTAACCTGAAAAGAGAGAATTAGAATGATGGGTTAGACGAGAGAGATAAGAGAAGGAAGAAGAGAATTTAGAGAGAATATTTGTGAGTGAGAATTATACCAAATTCCTAACTGCCCAACTCGTTTCATCTAGTTAGTTTAAGTAACTAACTAACTGGAGTATTTGCCGTCCAATCCCTTCGAATAATCTGAGCCGCTCATCTTTATTAATTCCTTTCCTCCCACGTGCTCTTTTCTTCTTTGATTTCTACAGTACACGTGTCCCCTTTTATTGATAATGACAGACAAGGTCTAATTCCTTACAATCCCCGCCCCTTCGAAAAAGACCTTGACCTCAAGGTCGTAGTTGCGCGACAAACTCCGGAAATTGATCCTTGATGTAGCCCCAGTCCTCCCAAGTAGCTTCATCAAGTGCTAGGTTAGCCCAATGGACAAGGACCTTTACTCCCACTGCGTTGTTAACCTTGACCATTTTCCGCTGCAAGATGGCAATCGGTTGGGTCAAAATGTGACCCTCTGAATCACAGACGGGTGTTGATTGTTGGACCTTGATAGTTGGTCCCACACGCTTCTTCAGCTTGGAAACATGGAAGACAGGGTGGATCGTCGACCCAGTGGGAAGATCCAGACGATACGCTACTGAACCAACTCTAGCAAGGATCTGAAAGGGTTTGTAATATTTAGCACTCAGCTTAAGGTTTTGTCGGACTGCGACGGAGCATTGACGATAGGGTTGAAGCTTGAGGTAGACGTAGTCACCAACTTCCAAGACCCGCTCCGTCCTATTTCGATCTGCGAAAAACTTCATGCGGGCTTGCACCTGGATGAGATTATCCATTAATTTCTGCAACACACTTTGGCGCTGGGACAAACAAGCTCCAGCAGGGGTGGAGGTTGGATGTGGTAAGGACCCCAAAGGCAGCTGGGGTAGTGGATAACCATAAAGGGCTTCAAACGGGGTCACTTTCAAGGCGTTGTGATGGTTTGTGTTATACCACCACTCCGCTAAGGGAAGCCACTTAGACCACTGTTTAGGTTGAGGAGACACCATTGCTCGGAGATAGGTTTCTAAACAACGATTGAGCCTCTCAGTCTGTGGATGGTAAGAGGTAGACATGGTAAGTCTAGTACCCATGGATTTGAAGAGTTGTTGCCAGAAAGGACTTGTAAACACCGGATCTCTATCAGTCACAATGGATTTACAGAGACCATGGAGTTGATAAATTTCCTTAAGAAACAAAGTTGCAACCTCCTAAGTAGTATAAGGATGTCTCAGAGCTAAGAAATGACCATATTTAGTCAATCTGTCCACCACCACTAATATAGCACCCTTGTGGTCAGACAAGGGTAGGCCTTCAATGAAATCCATGGCTATATCCTGCCATGGCATGTCAGGGATAGGGAGGGGTTGTAATAAACCTGGGGAATACACATTCTCCACCTTTGTCCGTTGACATAAATCACATTCCGAGACCCACTAAGCAATATCCTTCTCATGTTGGGCCAACAAAACAACATTCACACTCTCTTATAAGTACCCAACTTCCCTGAGTGACCCCCTAAGGGAGATTGATGTAGGGCTTCAAAAATGAGGGATCTAAGTTGTGCAGATCTGCCCACAAAAATTTTCTGGTCCTTTCTAATAATACCTTGATGTAATGAGTAGTTGGGTAGTCGGGAAGGGGTAGTAATCAACTCCAATAAAAGTGTATTAGCTACATAGTCATCCTCATAGCTCGAAGCAATTTGTTGCATCAAAGTAGGATCAGCAGTGGTGATAGCACATAAAGAGGCATCCTCACCCCTTCTGGATAAAGCATCAGCTACTTTATTTTCAGTGCCTTTCTTGTATTGGACTTTATAGTCCAGTCCCATCAACTTAGTAAGCCCTTTCTGTTGGAGTACAGTAGTGATTTTTTGTTCAAGGAGATATTTCAAGCTCTGATGGTCAGTCCTAATGATGAAGTGGCCCCCTTGTAAGTAGTGTCTCCATCTGTCCACAACAGCCATAAACTCTTTTTCATATGTAGAGAGACCCATATTTTTAAGAGACACGACTTTGCTAAAGAAAGCCAAGGGTCTGCCTTCCAGCATAAGCTCAACACCCATACCATTGTAGCATGCATCAGTTTCTATGATAAATGTTTTGGAAAAATCAGCTAAGGCAAGTACTGGGGCACTGGTCATGGCCCCCTTGAGGTTTTGAAAGGCAGTGTCTGCATCAGGACACCACTTGAATGCATTCTTTTTAGCAAATTGGTCAAAGGTCTACTGATTGCTCCATAAGACTGCACAAATCTCTTGTAGTATCCGGTAAGCCCCAAAAAACCCCTCAAGGCCTTAAGCGACTTAGGAGTTGGCCAGTTCACCATAGTCTCTATTTTGGAGGGATCTGTGGAGACCCCTTTCCTAGTGATGATATGACCTAGATATTCTACCTTAGGCTGTCCAAAAGAGCATTTGGACCTCTTGGCATATAACTTTTCCTTCCTCAAGATATACATCACCGTCTCCAAATGGACTACATACTCCTCAACACTAGAGTTGTAGACCAGTATGTCGTTAAAGAATACTAGCACAAATTTCCTCAAATACTGCTGAAAAAAAGAGTTCATCAAGCTCTGAAAGGTGGCAGGTGCATTGGTCAATCCAAAGGGCATCACTTTGAACTCATAGTGACCCAAGTGAGTTCGAAAAGTTGTTTTATAAATATCTTCCGCATGCATTCTTATTTGGTGGTACCCTGCTCTCAAATCGATCTTAGAGAAAACTTGTGATCCACATAGTTCATCTAACAAGTCATCTACTAGGGGAATGGGAAATTTATCCTTAATAGTCATCTTGTTAAGTTCTCTGTAGTCAATGCAAAATCTCGATGTACTATCTTTCTTTTTAACTAATAGCACTGGTGAGGAAAAGGGGGAGTGGCTGGTTGGATAACTCCACTATTTAACATATCTCTTGACTTGTTTTTCAATCTCATTTTTTTGAAAGAAATTGTACCTGTAGGGTCTGATGCTGACAGGGACTGCTCCCGGCGCCAGAGGAATGAAATGATCCTGCACTCTCTTTGGAGGAAGAGTAGAAGGTACTTCAAATACATCTGAAAATTTGTCTAAGGTGCTAGTAATGGCAGGAGGTAGAAGTTCAGTGCTCTCCACTGTGGTAGCTGTGATGGTGAACAAATGAGCCCACATTCCTTTTCCTTTCTTGAAAAATTGTTTAAGGCTACTCGATGACATTTTCTGTAATTCCCCTTCATTACATATTCCCCTTAGCCTCACTTTTCTCCCCAAGTGAGACACTAGTGCTTCATAAGCCACAAAGTCTAATAACACCGGATTGTGATTTCTCATCCAATCTCCCCCTAATATCATATTACACCCTCCTGCAGTAAGTAACCTCACTGAGTCCTTAAATTCTTCTCCATGAATTTTCCATTGAAATTTTGGACAAGAGTACAAACTCATGATGTAATTCCCATTAGCCATAGTAACTCTCATAGGTCGAGCCTCCTTGATAGGGTACCCAATTTGCTTAGCAGTCTCCAAGTCTACAAAGCTATGAGTACTTCCCGAGTCTAGAAGGATGGACAACTTCATCTTGGCATACCCCTGGTCGAATAGTATTAACTAATTCTGTACTCGATAGTGCATTAAGGCTAATAGCCTTTGTCACAGCCTCTAATTCCTCCATTTCTACTAAATTTTCACCCCCTTCCTATTGAGGCTCAATGCATGCAGAAGATATTTATAAAACAACTTTTCGAACTCACTTGGGTCACTATGAGTTCAAAGTGATGCCCTTTGGATTGACCAATGCACCTGCCACCTTTCAGAGCTTGATGAACTCTTTTTTTCAGCAATATTTGAGGAAATTTGTGCTAGTATTCTTTGACGACATACTGGTCTACAACTCTAGTGTTGAGGAGTATGTAGTCCATTTGGAGACGGTGACGTCTATCTTGAGGAAGGAAAAGTTGTATGCCAAGAGGTCCAAATTCTCTTTTAGACAGCCTAAGGTAGAATATCTAGGTCATATTATCACTGAGAAAGGGGTCTCCACAGATCCCTCCAAAATAGAGGCTATGGTGAACTGGCCAACTCCTAAGTCGCTTAACGCCTTGAGTAGAGCCGTCAAAAAGGGCTTAGCCCATGGGGCCGGCCCGACCCAACCTGTTATTGGGGCAGGGTTGGAATAGGATTTTTCAAGCCCGTTAAAAACTAGGGATTATAAGCCCAACCCTTTTAGGCCCTTAGTCCTTGAGGCCTGATTGGGGGCTGGCTGGGGTCGGCCCATGGGCCAAATTATTTAATTTTAATTAAAATAAATATTAAAAAAATAAAAATAAAAAACTAGAAAACCTAAATGTAACCTCTAACCTATATGGCTATAGTAGATTACTACTACTAGACTACTAGTACGTGAAGATTTAAAAGGCTAAAGCCTTATAAATGCTAAAGCCATTACTCTTAAAAACCTAAGTCCCTAAACACTAATATCTAAATTCTTGAACTACAACTCTCTGTCTCTTTACTCTTATAGTTTTATTGTCATCTCCTTTCTGCTACGACATTGGACAATTTTACAATTTTCTTGATTTCATTTAACTAAATACTTTAAGTAATTATGTATTGCTAACTAAAGTTTTAGTCAGAAGTGTTCTTTAGTTTACTAGTTTGTTTTTCAGATATTATTTGCTTAAGAGATTATTATTATTTTCTTTAAATATAAATTGCTAGATTTTTTATTTAGAATTATTGAAACAATGTTACTGTTTGTGACATTGATTTGACATTAAAAAAAAGGAGGGTTGGCCCGCCCCAGCCCTTGACCCTTCTGGGGTTGGGCCGGGTTGACCATTTTACAGCCCTTTGAAATAAAGGGCCGGCCAGCCCCAGCCCATCAAATTCTTTGGCCCGCGGGGCTTGGGCGGGGTAGGGCTGGGCTTACTCGTTTTGACAGCTCTAGCCTTGAGGGGTTTTTTGGGACTTACGGGATACTACATGAGATTTGTGCAGTCTTATGGAGCAATCAGTAGACCTTTGACCAATTTGCTAAAAAAGAATACATTCAAGTGATGTCCTGATGCAGACACTCCCTTTCAAAACCTCAAGGGGGCCATGACCAGTGCCCCGGTACTTGCCTTAGCTGATTTTTCCAAAACATTTATCATAGAAACTGATGCATGCTACAATGGTATGGGTGATGTGCTTATGCAGGAAGGCAGACCCTTGGCTTTCTTTAGCAAAGCCTTGTCTCTTAAAATATGGGTCTCTCTACATATGAAAAAGAGTTTATGGCTGCTGTGGACAGATGGAGACACTACTTACAAGGGGGCCACTTCATCATTAGGACTGACCATCAGAGCTTGAAATATCTCCTTGAACAAAAAATCACTACTGTACTCCAATAGAAAGGGCTTACTAAGTTGCTGGGACAGGACTATGAAGTCCAATATAAGAAGGGCACTGAAAATAGAGTAGTTGATGCTTTATCCAGAAGGGGTGAGGATGCCTCTTTATGTGCTATCACCATTGTTGATCCTACTTGGATGCAACAAATTGCTTCTAGCTATGAGGATGACCCTGTAGCTAATACACTTTTATTGGAGTTGATTACTACCCTTTCCCGACTACCCAACTACTCATTACATCAAGGTATTATCAGAAAGGACTAGAAAATTTTTGTGGGCAGATCTGCACAACTTAGATCCCTCATTTTTGAAGTCCTACATCAATGATGAGCGGTTCAGATTATTCGAAGGGATCGGACGACAAATACTCCAGTTAGTTAGTTACTTAAACTAGCTAGATGAAACGAGCTGGGCAGTTAGGAATTTGGTATAATTCTCACTCACAAATATTCTCTCTCTAAATTCTCTTCTTCCTTCTCTTATCTCTCTCGTCTAACCCATCATTCTAATTCTCTCTTTTCAGGTTACTGTAATCACCATAGCTAGGGTTACATTTTGCTTGAGAAGTAAACTGTTGTTGTAAACTTTTCCCCATAGCAATAAAATTCCTGATTTGTTTGAATATATTACTTTTTCGCATTTTGTAAGGAATTAGAGCTTGTCTGTCATTATCAATAAAAGCGGACACGTGTACTGTAGAGATCAAAGAAGAAAAGAGCACGTGGGAGGAAAGGAATTAATAAAGATGAGCGGCTCAGATTATCCAACTTGGAGTCATTCATGTCCATTTTTTTGTTGTTTTCTGTTATATACGTTTGTAACTGGCCATCCAATTTCTTCACAAATTCCCCTGTAGATTTAGCTCTAGTTTCTGCACCTGTCATCTTCTTGTTCTTAGGGCCAAGAAAGTGCTCTGATACCAACTTGTAATGAACTGAAATGCGAAAAAGTAGTATATTTGAACAAATCGGGAATTTTATTGATATGGGGAAAAGTTTACAGCAACAGTTTACTTCTCAAGCAAAATGTAACCCTAGCTAGGGTGATTACAGTAGCCTAAAAAGAGAGAATTAGAATGATGGGTTAGACGAGAGAGATAAGAGAAGGAAGAAGAGAATTTAGAGAGAGAATATTTGTGAGTGAGAATTATACCAAATTCCTAACTGCCCAACTCGTTTCATCTAGTTAGTTTAAGTAACTAACTAACTGGAGTATTTGCCGTCCGATCCCTTCGAATAATCTGAGCCGCTCATCTTTATTAATTCCTTTCCTCCCACGTGCTCCTTTCTTCTTTGATCTCTACAGTACACGTGTCCCCTTTTATTGATAATGACAGACAAGCTCTAATTCCTTACAGCTACTGACATCCAATCAGCTTCATAAAGCAACTAAACATAAAGGATATCAACTCTCAAACGCTATATATTATTTACAATAGGTCACTCAAGCATGGATTTACTTTGTATTCTTTCTATGTGATAGGTAGACTTAATAAAGTAACTAGCAAATCCATAGTTAAAACTTGACTAATCTCCTAATGAATAGCGAAACGCTAAATTCAGAAGTCAAAATTTTCATCATAAAAATTAATAACTTTTCTTTCTAACTTCAACTCAAGTAACAAATAATGTTTTCTTGGTAATTTTACCATTTTAAGCATTTCAAATTCTATAACATATTTGTCAAAAATTCTATAACATACAAAATTAGCAATTCTTTCATCAATGATTCTTGAAGTATATCAATTCTGATCATAAGAAGTCTATCCGGGCTGCTAATAGTTTAGGTTAGCTACTGAAGCGCGACCTACTGCCATCCTACAACCAGAGCATATAATAACCAGGTGAAAAAGTACAAAACAATCAACATGAAGAAACCAGAATTAGCAAGCACATTCATGAGTGAATATTGGAACAGCTCAATGTAATTTTACTTTATTGATTAATAAGAGATAAGGGATAAAATGTGGCCGAGTTCTTTCCAGACTCAAGAGTGGGTTTACAAAATGGTAAGCAAGACACAAATGGCTTACTACCCAACATATGGTACAAACAATGAAAAGACATTCTAAAATATTGTTCAGTAGTGGTCTGAAAGTAAACTAAGCCAAAGTCCTCCGATATATAGACATTTCATGATACATTTGAAGTCTGAAAACAAAGGCACGGTATAATATCCATTGGCTCGCCTCTATACTCTGAGAGGCACAGGAAGAAACATGGACCTTTATGAGGATTAAGTTGTGTGGAAAAGGTCATTGTTCCTCCGATTTTTCCAGAACAGAAAATCCAAAACAAACAAGAACTAAAGTTCTTTCAAATAAAGGATATAAATAGTTATGAGCAACCAAAGTTTAACGAAGTATTTTAAGCAAGTAGAGCATATTAACCAATGAGGATGTTACCTATCATAAGATTCACTGCTGCCAGTTGTCTCAATCAGAACATAAAAGTTATGCATTGAGGAAGGAAATGGATTACGGACACCTTCTAGATGTTTCAGGACCTGCTCCACGTAACATAACAGATAATGCTGATTTAATATACTGCATGAGAGTGACCTATAACATTTATAATAGTCGTCAAAATAACTTGAATCTCCAACTTAAAATAACAGTCTAAGCACAAAGTTGACAGGTAAGGAAAGACGGCTGACTATGCAGCACCTGCAAGCTTACAATGCAATTTTGAATAACAGACGAAGTAACAATGCAGTAGTTATCATTCATCAAGTATAATAACCTACATAAAGCAACTCAAATAGAACAGGAAAAAGAACTTGACATTCCCAGATGATATCGTCAGGTGAGACTTGATGGATTAAAAAGACACATAAAGCTCACCAGATCCATTGCGCCATGATCAAGGAATTCAAATGCAGAAAGAATTTCCCCAAGTTTCCTCTTTGCCTCTAACAAAAGTTTCTGATGGCAAACAGAATTTTCAGCAAGTAAAGTTATCATTCCAAGCAACTTCATAGTTGTATCATACTTCAGAGGGTAGAACCATTATTACCAGGCAGCTTGCATAATCTTTACAAGCAAGAAAGCATACATTTACAGAGGACAACTTTGGAGGAGTAAAAATGGAAACCTTCGTTACAATACCCAAGGATCCTTCACTCCCTATGCCATGTAATAAAATAAAATGTTTATCACAATGTAAAACAACTTCTGTTGACATAGAATAAATAATATAATCTCACCTATAAATAAATGTTTCAAGTCATATCCAGTGTTATCTTTCCGTAAAGTGCCCAGCATATCAAGCACCGTTCCATTTGCTAAAACCACTTCAAGACCTGAATAGATGAAAGTACATTTGAGAACACATACAAAAGGATGGACTTCACTTATATGTTTTTTTAGAACAACATTACTTTTATGTTTTTCAGACAGAAAGATCTTGAAAGGCTCATACATAGCCTTGTCCTCAAACGAATGTGACAAAATGGATCCCAAGTTTATCTAACAGATCTAAGAGAAGGAACATAATTTTCATTATTGGCTAAATCTTTCATCAGCCTCATTAACAGACTCACAGATTCATTTAGGTCAACAACTTCGACTCAGAAGTTCCATAAGATAGCACAATCAGATCTTACCAAGCACACTGCCATGCAGTGAACCATAGCGGAGAAGTCGCAAACCACCAGCATTAGTTGAGACGTTTCCACCAATTTGGCAGCTTCCTTTAGCACCTAAATCTAGTGGCATAACAAACCTAAGACAGAATGTGATTGACATTGATTTCATAAGGAAACAGAATAAAAAAGAACTTATTCAGTGGCATCAAAAGAGCTAGTAAGAAGTACCCAGAATAAGTTTATAAATAGAAACGAACTAGACAGAAGATAGATGTAAGAAACAGGACAGAATTTTCAATGCTGTTTCTTTCTATTGTCATGATATTAAAATAAGATGATAACAGAGTTTGGAGAAGATCAGTCTACGAATTTGCAGATGGTAATATTAAACTGAAACACCTTGCTATTACATGGTAAGAATGCTTAGAATAGAGTCACTCTGATGGATAACACTACAGAGTTTATATGCCAATTAAATGGTGAAAGAAACATTCTTTGGTCAGAAAGTTGCAAATATATGACAATAAAGTATTCAAAGGTGTTCCACTGTTTCTAGATTAAAACCTAAAAAATTGCACAAGCAGAATTATCCAAAAAAAAAAAACTATCCTTGACATGATTCATATAGTAATCATAAAAGGTATCAAGTAAGAAAAAATCACCCTTGGTTATCAAGAAAAGCGATGAGGTTTTCCAAAATGCATCCTGCCTCACAAACCAGTATGCCACTAACCTACAAAAAGATGTAAAGGAGGACAACTTATTCTATCTGCATAGACTTTATGCATTCGTAAAGAACCCTTTCCTTCATCAAGTTTAAATCTGACAAGAATAAGAATTGAAGATAGATCAGTAGAGTTACTTTAATCTTGTCACTGACATCTTTTTCTTTACGCTGAAATAATATTTATATCACCCTGCAAAAGCAAGGGTTCATGTAGTATTTACACTCACCAGCACATTTTCAGAATAAACTTACTCTTACCTTGTCAAAAGAAATGATTTTATTCATATGACTAGTACTGACAATCACCTGGACATTTTCAAAATAAAGAAAGAATACATCAGTAATCAGTTAAGAAAAGAATTATAAGACCAGCCAACATATTTATGTCAGAGAATTTTCAAACATTCACAGCAACGAACATATCCAGCAGCAAAACCACTAGTTACATCAATCAGTCTATCAACTATTCCTCAATCCCAGACTAATTGTGGTCGGCTATATAAATCATCTATATCTGTTTCACATTTCTTATCCCAGAAAAAAAATACAGTAGCAATAATATTGATGTTTAAAATGACTAGAAGTTCAGAAAACATGGATAATGATTGATAGATGTCGATTACTACTAATTCTAGCTTGACGAGTATCAGTGATTAGCTCGTGTGTGAGACATAGAAATCTAAACTGATTGGTTTGAAAAGAAATACAAGTTCAATATCTCTAAAATGAGTTAGGAGGAAGTTCTGGCTTGGTTCTAAGCTGTTAAATTGAGAAAAAAGACTTGCATTACCACAGCTTTGAAGTTTAAACTCTCCTCACAGTGCAATTGTTTATAGAGTCAAGAAAACATTCAGCAGTTTTCTTGTCAGTGTTTACATTTCAAGCAGCCCAATGAACAATGAAATAATGCCGCCACAGATCCTTCCCACTTCCGAAAGAGAGGAAAGTGGAAATAAGGGTTTAAGCAGCATCGGAGTGAAGTTGTAAGAACATCGAAAAGAGAGTAACTGAAACATGAGTGTATTCCTCCTAGGTGAAGCTTTAAAGTAAAATGAGATCCGTTTGCCCCCCTATTCTTACCATTTTAACAGAAGATGGTTTAAGCAACATGATGCAGCAATAGTTATGTTTACTTCACATGATTAGGCAATTATCAGAAAACTTCATTCCCATAGGTAATTAGCAAAATTAAGGTTTGGCCCTTCCGAATAGGACACACTGGTATCAGAAATGTCAAATTTAATGACCCAATTATTACCCTTTGTCCTTTGGACAGTTCAGTGACAATTTGTTTGAATGAATTCAGCTTGACTTTAACCAAAATTTGATCCCAAAAACTTCTACAAGTATTTTATTGTGCCAACTATTCTGAATTATTAAGTCTTCATGTATACTTTACATGAAAGTACTCTTATCATTATGATTTTGGGCTCCTTAAACTATGATATGAAACATTAAAACATACCCTGGTAAACTATGTTTAAAGGTTTTTGGCTACTTGTGCTCTCACTCTGATTTTACAAACTAAGACAATCGATCTATGAAATAGCATTTTCTTATTAAAATGGCTTTAATGAAACTAATTGTTTATCTGTTTTAAGATCCAAATCAACAACATCTATACCAGGTAATTAACAGTGTTGTTGAGGGCGAAAAGTTTTGAGAGTCTATTAGGGCTTTAAGCTCAAAGCGCAATTAAACTGTGGACGTTATTAAAGGAAACCGCGATGAAGAACAAAAATTATGTATGTAATGCAAGAAAAAATAACTATAATCACAGAAAATAATAATTATATGAAGAAGTAGTTGAAACAAACTATAATTAAAATATTTAAATGGAATAGATGAAGTTGGAAAAAAAAGCAAAATTTCAATTAGATGAAAAATGCAGTTTTAAGATTTTTATTCCATTTAGGTTAAGTTTTCTTATATTAAATCTATAAACTCCTTTTCCTAAATAAGTACCAAATTCATTCATACCATTTTCTTAACAATTAAAATATCTCTTCTCCAATTATATTTATTTTTTAGTGCCAACCTCTTCAAGATAGCATGGTTAATGAAGCGCACATCTTCATGCCTTGAAACCAACATTGAATGCCAGTTAAGCGGGAGAAGTGCACTAGGTAAGCGTCACCTATCTTCAGATCTTAAATGCGCCACAAATGAGCCTTTAAGAACAGTGGTAAACAATCAAATAGAAGAAGATAAAATACAATGTGACGGCAGCCTATCATTCTATAATTAATATGACTAATGGAAAACAAACTAACAATCTCTACTTGGACATACGACATTCATGGTACTGTATCCATCTACCCACAATTACATTATCAGTGGTCATCAAGTAATCAAGAACTCCTTACCTCATCAAAAGCAGGAACACTTCCTCCCACAAGACCCGTATTCCCCCCTTGTGGAACAACAGCCAGGCACCTGGAATTGCAATATTTAAGAATCTGAGATACCTGTAGAACCAAAGTCAAAGAAACACAAATGGGAAACCAAAAGGTGTAGATATTAGTATCTATTATCAATAAGGAGCAAAAGATTTGTGAAGAGACGTGACATTTCAACCTCCTCTGCTGTCCGAGGTTGGAGCATAAGTTTACTGGTGCCCTTGTATTTCCTCATCCAATCCGTGTTCACAGCATCGAGTGTCTCTTCATCTTGAACCACCCCTCTTTCCCCTAATATATTTTTGAAATAGCTCAAGTCTTCTGAACTAATTGTTGAAAAATCTGGTCTTCTTTGAATAATGGTGGCCTGAGAAGCAAAACATCTATACTGGTTTCTGCATCTGTTCCATGGATTCGTACCCAGAGATACCTGGAGATGTTTAAATGTTTGAAATTCTTGTTGGTAATTACCAATATAAGGTTTTACCAACTCAGAAGGTTGGCTACAATGATACCTTGAACCTACAAACCATGAAAATGAAGATTGTCAGTTAGCTTCATCAGAGTATCTTTTAGAATACACATACAATTAGTTCCAGTTGGGTTCATTTTCAACTAAACCTTAATATAACGCCACTTCATTCATTGAACCTGAGGTTTTATCAGAACAAACTCAGTAGATAACAACCAGAGTTCTACCTCAGTGATTTTTTATTCAATCAGTAACCCCAAAACCATGTGACTAATTTTTTTTGTTGTCAAAAATCAAGACAAAATGAGAACGGTTCAATCAAGCATCCTCATCCTCAAGTAACAAAAGTCGAAAAATTGCAGGCTCTAAATCAGAGCAGCTCCACATGCAATCATCAAATAATTACGTCTCAGTCCAAAATTAATTGAGTCAACTATCAGACTGTTTGGTACAGAGGATAGAGGCGGATCTAGGATTTGACGTTTGGGGATTCCTACAACGACCTCAAGTTAATATACAATGATAGTTGCATTCACAATAAAATATTCATTTGGTTTCTTAAAATATACAAGGTCAGTGCAAAAATTAAGCTCTAGATAAGCCACTTACGAGGGAAGTCAAGTGGAGGTCATTTTTCGAGGAAAATATTTTCCATCAAAATGGAAAAAGTGACTTCCCTCCCTTATAGATGGAAGTGTTATTTTTGTTACAACTATCTAAACTTTTAACTACATTTTACTTACTCCAACTAAAACTTGGACACCATCTAAGTTGCTTAGACACAGGTGCAGGTGTCCGATACAGGTGGATCTAGTAGTTGGATCATTCATGATCTAAATATTAAGATTTGGGATTAGGATACAGGTGCGGAGATAAAGCTAAAATAATTCAAATATCTAAAAATAGAGTTATATGCCTAAATTATGAGACATTAGTGGAAAACTTACAAGGTGTTCCAAGGAGAAAATATTGGTTAAGACGAGAATTCCAGAAGGGTATAAAAGGAAAAGGACTGTCATAAAAAATATTATATACAAGCTATTCCATTTTCTTCAATCCCCCTTAGATTTTGTTTTGATTTCATAAATCATAGGTATTTATCCCAATTTCTCGGGTCGATTATAGATTATAGTCAAAGTACCCAAAATCGGTCAACCAAATCCAGAATGGATCTCACAAACGTAATGTCAACATGGGTCAGGGGTGCGGTAGCGAAAGTGAAGAGTTCGAACAACTTAGGACATTATTGGAATAACACGGATGTGGCATACTCACTGACCATGTTACTAACATATTTTGTCTAAACACTCTCCGCTTCGGTAATATCACTCCCTTCATCTCAATTTATGTGGACCTTTCGAGTTTAGAGAGTCAAACAAGTTTTTCTTCGACCACAATTTTCCAGAAAAATAACTTATGTCCTACCAAGCACACTCAATATGAATCCATTCCATACAATACAGTTCAATTTCGCTATTATTTTACCTGATCGTCAATTTAGCTTAACTCCCTCGTTTTACCATAATTCATCTCATTTATCCGGACTTGGGAGTTTCTAATGCTATGAGAAACTCTCAGGATTGCTAAAATTATAGAACAAAGCATAAATTTAACTGAGATGAAATGCAATAATAGACCAAAGCATTGTATCAAACTGAGAGAAAAATTGGTTAATAATAGCGGTACCTGAGGTGCAAAATGGCTTAGAATTGTGAAAATTAGGGCTCAATCGGCGATGAAAAAAGTGTTTGCAGTGTGTAAGTAAACGGTAGGTCGATTTCCAGTCCTCCATTTCTGCAACTGCCTTCACTCTTCTGCTTCCTTAATTAATGAAACAGTAATCATTTTGCCCCCTTTTTGCTTGAGACAATTAAATGGAAGATGTCAATTAAATGTTGTTTTGGTTTTTGGTAACACTTTAACCAAGAAAGGGTCAAATTCATTTTAAAATGTAATTAAGTAAATTTGAGATCAAATTAATATTTTCAGAATTTTCTAATCTTTTATAAAATACAAAAAAACACTTTATTTTTCAAGTTTTATAATTCTATCCAAACCATTTTAAAAAAAGAGTAAAAGAAAATAAAATTTTCTGTTCTTCTCCCAACGTTCTCTCTTCTCTTCTTCTACTTCCTTAGAAAATCCAAAAATTCGACTGTCAAAACAAATATTCTCCCCCATTATCTTATCTTCCTCCTCATCTCCGACCGTGACTCTCTCATCTTTCGGAACTGAAGATTGTGTTCGAGTTAAAATGGGTAAGTCATTTTTTTGAAAGATTTTACAATTTTCGAATAATACTAAGTTTTTTTCTTGGGTTAATGAACAATAAATCGTTTTATAGATGTGAAAATTGAATAATGGTGTAATGGTAGCTATTATTTATTGTTTTTGAAAGAAAATCAACAAACCCAAAAAAACCCTAATTTTGAGGAAATGTATATGTATTGTTAACATTCAGTGAAAATTCATTTTTTTGTTGCTTTTGTTGTTCATTTTGTAACCATTTTGTTCATATGATTTTAGAAATATAGTCTTGTTCAGTTGTCCAACATATATTTCATTTGTTGAAAGATGTGTCGTATGTTGCTACATTTTAGTGATATGTTGGTATATATTCCAACAGAGTTGTCATATGTTGAAACATATCACCTATGTGTTAGGGCAACAAAATGGTCATCTGTAGTAATAGAAGATTAATCTGTGGCATATGAAGATTCATTTGTGGCCATAGAAGATTCATTCGTGGCAACAAAAGGTACATATGTGGCAACATAATATCCATCTGTGTCAACATAAGTATAAATTGCTATCCATTATTATTTTATAATCAATTGTAAACTCTCAACCTTTTTTTATTTACCTTGTGGATGAAATGATACAAGAAGTTTCATTCATGACAACAGCTCAATCTTTTATTAGTGTTGCTTCCTCTTCTAACATCAAATGCTCTTTTTGTCTATGCGAAGAATGTGAGCAGCAACATGATTATTTTATTAGTCGTGTTAAAGAACTGACTGATATTTTTAAGGAAATGACTTATAATATTGATGTCCATACATCCAAGAAGATTTCACAACCTTTGAAGTGTAGGAGGTTGAAAAAATCTATTTCCCAATCACTATCTATAATTAATGAAAGAAAAAAATCAATGTCTATTGCTCCAATATCATACTCAAACCCAAAAGGCAATGAGAAGGAGAAGGAGAAGGAGAAGGGGAAGGTGAAGGAGGAGGAAGAGAAGGAGAAGGAGAAGGGGAAGGTTAAGGAGGAGGAAGAGAGTGAAAGAGAAAGAGAGAAAGAAAAAGAAAGAGAAGAAAGTTGAAGTCGTCAGTGATGTGAAGCAACAATATCCATTTGAAGGTTTTAACATTGACGGCGAGGGTCCAACTAAACTAATGTCATCCATCTCGCAATGGATAAACGAGGGTCTTACAAGCATCATGCAAAAAAGTAAAGTCGTTCAACTATTATTAGTATTTTTTCTTGTTGTCCACTAAATATTTATTTATAATAATTACAAAATTGCAGAAGAGACAAGGACGATCACTACTTAGCCAATTACTCGGATCTTAAGTTCAAACAACTTGATTTTGTATTTGCATTTCCAAAGAAGAAAGACTGGTTCTACGTAATGTCTCAACCCAATAAGTGCTGGACTGATGAGGTAAATTCATGTCCATTTTTATCTTTTGATTAAGACATGAATACATACAAATAAATTGATGCATAAATACACTTGTTGATGCATCTGTGCAGTATGTGGATGTCATTTTATACTATTTGCGGAAGAAGTTGAAGCAACAGAGTCATTCTAAATATCGATATACCACTACTAATTGTTTTTTCAAATCATATATTGACAATACCAGTGTTGTTCCTGAATATGAGAATAAAATCGTTGGCACTATCAAAGGGTTTGGTATACCTGCTGGACTGCCTTGGCACCTCACAGATGAGGTTATGTCCCTGTAAATTGTAATGGGGAGTTTCATTGGGTCTTGGCAGTCGTTGTATTGAAGAAACGACGCATAAAGGTGTATGATTCGATGTCCTCATCTAAGACTAACAGAAAATTGTGCACCGAGATTCAAAAGTTATCTACAATGTTGCCAAAGTACCTTGAATCCAGGGGATTTTATGAGCAAAAAAACCGAACCAACTGGTCAGTTCTTGAATCTTACCAGGGCAAGAAAAAATCTCACACATTCGAAGTCATACATGTTACTGGTATTGCCCAACAAGCAAGCAATAGTCTGTAAGTAGTATCACGTTATTTTTTGTCTTACCACTATCGAAATATGATGTTAATATTAGGCTTATTATATTTTCTAATTGATGATATACCATGCAGTGATTGTGGAGTTTTTGTAACTGCATACACTGAGTTTTTTAGTGATGGAATACAAATACCATCTGATGGAATTATTTCTCAATCCCTTCGCTTGAGATATGCTTCACTCCTATGGAATTATGGAATTTTAAAGCCTCGGAGTGGCTATGTTAGTAACAATGAAGACTCACAGAGGACTAGACCTAAAAAGGCAAAGTTCGATAAAAATGTTGTGGTTACCACCATTGATTAGATTGATGGTTATGTATACCATTGTGAATTACTTTTTTGTTGATAAGTTGTATAAAATAATTGGTGAAGTGATCATTTTTGCTGATAATATTAATATTAATGATTATTATTATTATTTTATTTTGTTGGAACAAATGTCAATTATGATGAAAAGGAAGAATGTGGTGTATGTGGCAACATATATAACCTCGGTTGTAAAAAACACCACAGAATTATCTGCATGTTCCCCAACAGAAAGGATACATGCGGTAACATATTCCATAGAAAGAAGATATGTGGTAACATATGTCACAAAAAGGATATATGTGGCAACATTATATTGTCATCAATTGTTCATTTTTGCTGATAATATTAATATTAATAATTATTAATAATATTTTTATTTTGTTGAAACAAATGTCAATTATGATGGAAAGGAAGAAATGTGGTGTTTGTGGCAATATATATAACCTCTGTTGTAAAAAAACACCACAGAATTATCTGCATGTGCCCCAACAGAAAAGTATATGTGGCAACATATGTCACACTTTGAATTGTCAAAAAAAAATTTAAAAAATGAAAAGGTTTAAAACAATCGTTCCTTCATTTTTCTCTCTCTCCTCTCATCTATAAAAGATAAAAGGTCGTTTCATATTCCAAATTTAATTTAATTTTACTAATTTCCGTTTTCTTTTCTCTATTTTCCTTCATTTCTCTCGTTCCATTATTCCTTCACAGATCAAGGTTGTTGTTGCGATATTTTCTACAACATTAGTGGTAATCTGTTGCGATCCTCTTCTACAACAAGACATCGTTGCCCTCATCATTTTTAGTTTATCGTTGATATCTTGTCAGGTAAAATTTAATTAGAGTTTTGAGAAATACTTACTGGTATTAAATCAGGACGTTTTTAGTGGTTTTATCACTTGTATGGTTGGATAGTTATTCCTTAATTTGTAGTTCGTTGGTTAGGGTTTAGGGAGGGTTTTGTGGTTTGTTGGTTGGTTCATGTGTGGTATTGAATCGTATTTGTTGTTTGTGTTGTTATATTTGGTTGTTGTTATTTTTGTTAAGAAATATTTGATTTTTGTGATTGCAGATACAAATATAATGGCTCCTATCAAAAGAAAAATTGTGTTAATAAAAAAAACAACTGACACAAAGATCCAGAAGAGGCCTAGGACTAGAACTTGTAGGAAGAAGAATGAAAATTCGACTACCACTCTTTTAGAAGAACTAGAATCTGAAGCAGTTTCTTCTTCTCAAGTAAAAGCAGAATTTTCTCAAAAAGAATATGAAGAAAGAGAAAAAGAAAAAAATGAAGTAGATGATGATGGAGAAAGAGCAGAAGAAGTTGAGGAAGAAGAGGGAAATAAAAAAGAAGTTGAGGAAGATAAAGGAAACCAAAAAGAAGTTGAGGAAGAAGAAGGAAAAAATAAAGAAATAGTTGAGGAGGAAGAAGAAAAAATAAATGAAGTTGACGAAGACAAAGGAAAACAAAAAGAAGTTGAAGAAGATGGGATCAAAACTATCAATGCACACACTTTTGTGCATTTGCATCCTAATGCTACTGGTGATAGCATTATGAGGTCAGCAATGGGAAAACCTTTTGATACCTTCAGGATCACCCTCAAGCAGAATGGTTTGGAAGATTTTTTTGGAATAGTTGTTTTGGTCATTTTCTTGATTTGCCAGAGAATAATAATGCATGTTTTCAAATGACCATGGTCTATGAACTTTTGAAAAGAAGGTTCATTTTTCAGAATCCTGAAAAGAATGATGAGGTTTTGATTAATTATGTGGCATGCCACTCTTCTTTGGCAGAAGAGAGTTTGCCATAGTTTCAAAGTTAAAATGTCATCCTCCTTCTGAGCTAGTCCCTGAATTCATAGTAAAAAAAGAACCACAGAGACGAAAGAAAGGAGGAAAAGAAGAAACAAGACAGTCAACTGAGGAGCAGGACTTGATGTCCCTTGTTGGCACAAGCGTCAAAAATCCCGATTTGATATATTTGTTGAAGGTCGATGATACACCAAGGAAGCACAAGGAGTCATTGTGCTTACTTTGGTTTGTACATAGTGTACTTTTGGCCAAAGATCTCAACAACAACATATCCCTTAAATGGGTGAATTTATCTCAGGATATTGAGGCTTTCAACAACTATCATTGGGGTCATGAGAGCTTTGAATTAACTCTTGTTGAAACCTTTAGGACCAAAGACCAATAACTTATTTGGCTTTCCATGGGCTTTCATGGTAAACATAAATGTTCTTAATCTTTTTATATTATATTGAATAA